GGTTTAGGGTTTAGGGTTTAGGGTTTGGGGTTAGTCGCAGGAGGCGGTGGTGGATGGGGAGTGGGTGAACGGCAAGAGCGTAAAGGAGTGGAAAGTGAAGCGGTCCATTTACCAAGCGCTGCACATGGCGATGGCGGAGGAGCTGGAGAGAGACCCCACCGTCTGCATCATAGGTAAACCCCAAACCCTAAACCCCAAACCCTAAACCCTAAACCCTAAACCCCAAAGCCTAAACCCCAAACCCCAAAGCCTAAACCCCAAAGCCCAAAGCCCAAAGCCTAAACCCCAAAGCCTAAACCCCAGCGTCTGCACCATAGGTAAACCCCCAACCCCAAACCCCAAAGCCCAACCCCAGGCGCGCGGTGTGTGCGGCGCAGGCGAAGACGTGGGCCACTACGGAGGCTCGTACAAGGCGACGCGGGAGCTGCACCTGCGGCACGGCAACTTCCGGTGTCTAGACACCCCGATCTGCGAAAACACCTTCCTCGGGCTCGGCGTCGGCGCCGCCATGGCCGGCCTCCGCCCCGTCGTCGAGGGCATGAACCTCGCCTTTTTGCTGCTGGCCTTCAACCAGCTCTGCAACAACGCGGGGATGGTGCGCGCCACCAGCGGCGGCCAGTTCCGCGTGCCGCTGGTGGTCCGGGGCCCCGGCGGCGTCGGCAGGCAGCTGGGCCCCGAGCACTCGCAGCGCGTCGAGGCTTACTTGATGGTGCCTTTGGGCTTTCGGGGTTGGGGTTTAGGGGTTGGGGTTTAGGGTTTGGCGCTTCGGGGGGGTAGGGGTTCGGCAGGGTTTGCGGGTTTGGGGTGGGGGAGGGTCTGCCAGTTGATGTTCCATCCCTGGGGGTTACGGGTTACGGGTTACGGGTTACGGGTTACGGGTTAGGGGTTAGGGGTTAGGGGTTAGGGTTTCGGGTTTAGGGGTTAGGGTTTAGGGGTTAGGGTTTCGGGTTTAGGGGTTAGGGTTTAGGGGTTAGGGTTTCGGGTTTAGGGGTTGGGGCGGGTTTGGGCGCTTCAGGGGCCTCCTGCTGGGCTGGGGTTTAGGGTTTGGGGTTTGGGGACTGAGCTTTCAAAACCCCCAGGGTTTGCCTCGCACTTCCTGCCAGCATCTGCCAGTTGATGTTCCATCCCTAGGGTTTGCGGTTTAGGGTTTAGGGTTTAGGGTTTGGGGTTTGGGCGCAGGCGGTGCCGGGGCTGAAGCTGGTGGCGTGCAGCACTCCTTACAACGCGCGGGGTTTGTTGAAAACCGCTATAAGAGAGGATAACCCTGTGGTGTTTTTCGAACATGTTTTGAACTATTCCAACTCCGATTTTATCCCCCTAATGCCATACACTCTTTCGTTGGATAAGGCGGAACAAGTTGCTGCTGGCGAGGACCTCACGCTGCTGTGCTACGGGCGCCTGCGCCAAGTTGCTGCTGCTGCAACGCAGCAGCTGCAGCAGCTCTCCGTAAACCCTGAAGTGTTGGATTTGATTTCTCTCAAACCCTTGGACATGGCAGCAATTAAAGCCTCCATTAGAAAGACCAAAAGGTGTATTATCCTCGACGAGTCCAGCAGAACGGGCGGAATCGGAGGAGAAATCTACGCGCAGGCAAACCCTAAACCCTAAACCCTAAACCCTAAACCCTCGCGTTCGAACGCGCGCTGCGCTGCGGCACACGCGGCCCACACGCCGTAAACCCTCGACTCCCCTTTCTAGCGGGCTTCACGTCTAAACCCTCGGCTCGCTCTTCTGGACCTTTAAACCCTAAACCCTAAACCCTAAACTCTCCTTTCTAGACGGCTTGAAGTCCAAACCCTCAACTCGCTCTTCTGGATGCCTTGACATTAAACCCTAAACCCTCAACTCGCTCTTTTGAATGGCGCTCTAAAATGGTTAAACCCTAAACCCTAAACCCTTTACAAGCCCTCCTTAAAGATCTAAACCCTAAACCCTAATTTACAACCCCTCAACCCCAAACCACTAACACGAATCTCTGTGCGGCGAAAAAAAGACCCCTAAACCCTAAACCCTAAACGAATTAATTAATTTAATTATTTAATAAATAAATAAATAGTTAAATATTTATTTATCCATTTATTTGTTTGTTTATTTGTTTATTTATCAGGTGGTTGAGAATTGTTATGAAGACTTGCTAATGCCCCCCGTGCGGCTTTCAACAAAAGACATTCCAACTCCTTATTCAAAAGAATTAGAAGAAGCAACAATCATAACTCCTGCTGATGTTGTAAATGCTGCTCTTTGGATGCTGAGTGCCAACAGGAAATAAGCAGCAGCAGCAGCAGCAGCAGCAGCGGGGGCAGCAGCAGCGGGGGCAGCAGCAGCGGCGGCGGCGGCGGCGTGAAAGCGGCAGCAAAGACGCCGCTCGCGGGGAAATGCAGCAGCAGCAGCAGCAGCAACTGGTTTGCTGCTACTGCTGCTGCGGCAACAGGAGGGGGAGCGGCAGCAGAAGCAGGGATGCATTTGCTGCTGCTGCTGCTGCAACAGAAAGAGCAGCAGCAGCAGGGACTCATTTTCCGCTGCCGTTGAAGCAGCAACAGCAACAGCAACAGCAGCTCCAAATACAAGAAAGCAGCAGCAACCTCAGCAGCAGCAGCAGCTGCAGCAGCAGCAGCAGCAGCAATGGAAACTTGTCGAGCTGAGAGATCTCTTTGTGGGGCTTGCTGAGGTGTACGTACACCTGGGCCGCGAAAGAAATGGAAAGGAAATGTGAAAGTTGATTGACAAAATTAATTTAAAATTGATTTAAATTAATTTAAATTAATTTTAAATTAATTTAAATCAATTTTTAATGAATTAAAATTCATTTGAAATTTGAAATCAAAAATGGAAAGTACACTGCAGCCTGGGGTGTACGTACCCGAGAAGCCGAGTCTGCTTCTTTCTCTGAGCTCAAAAAGCATTTTATAAAATAAAATAAATTAAATTAATAATAAATGTATTTAGTATATTCAATATATTTAATATATTTATTATTAAACTTCAAATTCACTTAATGTTTTTAAAGGAATGTAAATCTCATTTAATGCCATTTTATTTGGGATTGTTCTTTTCTTGTTTCTCCAACACCTCTCTGCATGCATGCATCTGCATAAACAAATAAATGAATAAATAAATAAATAAAATAAATAAATAAAATAAATAAGTAAATAAATAAATCAATAGGCTTCATCTGCATGCATTGCCTCCAAAGAATTTATAAATTCACTTATGCAAAGAAAGTCCTTACTCAACTATATGAATTCTTCAACTCCTATCAAATAATGCAAGTGAGAGGGCCTAGCTAGCTAGCTAGCTGGCTAGCTAGCTAGCCAGCTAGCTAGCTGGCTAGCCAAGTAGCTAGCTAGCTAGCCCATTTAGCTAGCTACCAGCTAGTTAGCTAGCTAGCTGGCTAGCTAGCTAGCTAACCGGGGGCCTAGCTAGCCAGCTACCTGGCTAGCTAGCTAGCTAGCCGAGCCTAGCTAGCTAGGGTGAAGTTGGCTCAATGCCTCTGGCTGGCTAGCCAGCCGTAGCTCAGCAGCGAGTTGGCTAGCTAGCTAGCTAGCCAGCCAGCCAGCTTATTTGAACCCTAGGGCCTGGGCAGCCGCAGCAGCAGCAGCTGCAGCAGCTGCAACAGCAGCTGCAGCAGCTGCAACGGCAGCAGCAGCTTCAGCGGCCGCAACAGCAGCAGAAACTGCAGCAGCTGCACGAGCCTCAACAGCAACAGCAGCAGCAGCAGCAGCAGCAGCAGCGGCAGCAGCAGCAGCGGCAGCAGCAGCACAGGCGGCAGCAGCAGCACAGGCGAGGAAGAGTTGTTTCTTGTGGAGAGTAATAGGGCTTATTGGAAGCAAAGAAAGAAAGCTGTACGTACACCCGAAGCTGCTGGATGTTTTGAAGTTTATTTTATTTTATAAATTGTTTTCAATGGCCCAAAACCCTCGGAGGAGCAGTGCTCCCTCTTCGAAACCCTAAACCCTAAAAAAGGGTTTGGAGTTTAGGCTTTGCGGCATGGCGCCCGCAGACTCGCTTACACAGACTTATTTGAACCCTAAAGCCTGGCCACCAGCAGCTGCAGCAGATGCACCAGCTGCAGCAGCTGGAGCAGTAGCAGCTGCAGCAGCAGCTGCAACAGATGCAGCAGTAGCTGCACCAGCTCCTGCAGCAGCAGCTGCAGCAGCACGGGCGAGCAACTCTTGCTTCTTGTTTGTCTGCACGCTCTCCTTGGTAAGTTCTGCTAGCTAGCTAGCTAGCTAGCTAGCTAGCGAGCTAGCGAGCTAGCTAGAACCTCAGCCCTTAGCTAGATAGTTAGCTAGTTAGCTAGCTAGCTGGAGCCGTAGCTAGCTAGATAGTTAGCTAGCTGTCTTGCTGGTCTACTGCATCGGGCTAGCTGGCCAGTTGTAGCTAGCTGGCTAGCTAGCTAGCTAACTGGCTAGCTATTTGGGCATTTGGCTAGCTAGCTGGCTAAGAGTCTATTTAGCTGCAGCTCAGCTAGCTACGTTCGGCTGGCTAGCTATCTGTCCGGCCATCTATCTACAGAGCTAGCTAGCTAGCTATCTAGCTAGCTAGCTGGCTAGCTAGCTGGCTAGCTAGCTAGCTAACTAGCTAGAGAAGGCTTAAGAACTAAAGAGCACCAAACCAACCAAACAAACGACTAAACAAATAATAAGTAAACAAGTAAATAAATAAATAATAAATAAATATGTAAATAAATAAATAAAAATAATAAATGAATAATAAAATGTTTTTAACACCAAAGAGAACAGCCCCCGCCAAGGTCTGCAGTAAAGAGCCAAGGAAGCTGCGGATGGAAGCAGCAGCAGCTGACGCCTTCTTTTGCTGCTAAGGGTTTGCATACCTGCAGCACAAACCCTAAACCCTAAACCCTAAACCCTAGGCCTTGGGGAGTGTGGTCGGGCTTGAATGCGCGAAAGAAGAGCGCACGGAGCCGCTCGGCGAACGCAGAGCCGCACAAAACCTAAACCCTAAACCCTAGACCCTAAACCCTGAACCCATCGACTGTCTCCTGCCGGTAAAGAAAACACTTGGGTTTAAAGCCCTGAGGTGGGGCTCATGGCGGGACATTAGGGTTTAGGGTTTAGGGCTGCGGCTAAGAACTAGGGTTTAGGGCTACAGCTAAGCATTAGGGTTTAGGGTTTAGGGTTTACCTTGAGGGTTTTGAGAGGCACGATAAGAGGGTTTGTGATGAGGTCGTCGTACACCCGGCAGTAGAAGATTTGAACAGTTCTGCAGCAGTCAAACCCACAATTAGGGTTTAGGGTTCAGGGTTTGTCCAAGGGTTTAACCTGCTCTGCTCTCCAGCGCCCCCACCCCAACCCCCAAACCCTAAACCCTAAACCCCAACCCCAAAGCAGAGGGCAGCGTGTGCGAGCCACGGAGCGCGCGAGCGCCTAGGGTTTAGGGTTTAGGGTTTGCGGACCCGTCGAGGCTGGCGGAGGCCATGAGGGGGAGGGTTTTGTGGAAACAGGTTTTGGTAATTGCTTCTTTGTGAACCCTAAACACTTTGTAAACCCTCAAAGATAAATCCAAATCAAAAAAAAATAATTTTGAACTTTCACTTCCAACCACCAGCTGCGAGCCACCCGGGTGTATCGACACTGAGCTCACTCCCTCCACCCCTGCACGCAAACCCTAAACCCTAAACCCTAAACCCTAAACCCTAAACCATAAATGCTGGGTCCTTGGTGCTGAGTTGACGTCGTTCATAGTGCGGGTTTTGCGAAGGGTTTGTGTGTGCGTGAACTTGAAATGCAGCATAAACCCTAAACCCTAAACCCTAAACCCTAAACCCTAAACCCTAAACCCTAAACCCTTACCAATAAGCTTTTTGATTAGGGCCTGTCTTGTCCCGGTTACTCCTGGCGACTTTTGCTTCGCCGAAAGGTCATAAATCCTGCAAACAAACCCCAAACACTAAACCCTAAACCCTAAACCCTTGCACAGCTTTCGCAAAGCAAGGGTCCCACGAAAAAGCGTAGCTCTAGGGCGTCTCAGTAGGGTTTAGGGTCTAGGGTTTAGGGTTTGCTGCAGGTGGCTTCTTGGCGTGGTTCTCGGCGGCGGCCTAGGGTTAAGGGTTTGGAGGCTAGGGTTTAGGGTTTAGGGTTTGGGACCTGATGCCTCGGGAATAAGCCACAATTAGCCAGGGTTTAGAAGGATGGAAAAGAGCATCTTTTAAAAGTCCTGGGCCACTTCGCTTTAAGGGTTTTATTCCTTTTTGCTTCTTCAAGTTGTGCAGCAGCAGCTGCTCCGAGGGTTTGCTGCTGCTGGGCGACACGCACAAAAGATACGTGCCTGCAGCAGCAACAAAACCCTAAACCCTAAACCCTAAACCCTAAACCCTAAACCCTAAACCTTACACCCTAAACCCTATATGTGCAGAAGGAGCTGCTTTGAGGGTTTGCTGTTGCTGGGAGAAATGCATAGGTGATACGTGCTTGCAGCAGCAACAAAACCCTAAACCCTAAACCCTAAGTAAAAGCTGCATAATAAAATAAATAAATGGACAAAAAGATAAAAGAAAAACAAACAACAAAAAGCAAATAAACAGGAAGAAAGAAATAATAGAAAATAAAAATGATGAATAAAAAGAAATAATGCAGAACAATAAACAAAAATAAAAAATAATTAGATAAATGACCAATAATAAAAAAGGAATAAATAGCAAGAAACAGCCGCAGCAGCAGCAGCAGTGGCAGCAGCAGCAGCAACAGCAGCAGCAGCAGTGGCAGCAACAGCAGCAGCAGCAGCAACAACAGCAGCAGCAGCAGCGGCGCGTTCGTAGCAAAACAAATGCCAACCAAATAGATAAACAATAAAAGAACAACGCCTGAATAAAAATAAATAAATAAGTAAATAATAATAATACATAAAATGAATAAAAATAAAAAAAAAAAAAAATAATAATTACCTTTATCTTGCCATTTAATTTGTGTTATTGGAGAGCCATGCATTACAAAGATGGCGCGGCGAACTCCCCGCAGCAGCAGCGTCAGTTCATGCGGCGGCTGCTGCTGCTGCTGCTGCTCTTGCTGCTGCTGCTGCTGCTGGAGCTCTTTTTCTGCTGCTTTTGCTGCTGCTTTTGGGTGCCGCAGCGACACCTGCTGCCACACCCCAACCAGTTTGCTGCACACAGCTGCTTCGACCACGTACGCGCTGCTGCTGCTGCTGCCACTGCTGCTGCTGCTGCTGCTGCTGCTGGCTTCTGCTGCTGCAGTCTGCAGCAGGTCCGGCAAGCCTTCTTCTGCTGGTGTTTTCAGCAGCAGCAAATCCATCGCCTCTTCCACCTGCCTGCGTGCTTCCCCTGCTGCTGCTGCTGCTGTTGCTTCCGCTGCTGCCTGGCTGTCTGCTGCAGCAGCAGCAGCAGCAGCTTTTTTCTTTTTTGCAGCAGCAGGGGCAGCAGCGTCTGCTGCTGCTGCTGCTTCCAGCTGCTGCAGCGAGCTGTCGTCGAAGGCCGGCTGGTCCAGTACGAAGAGCAGCAGCTGCTCTGCTGCAGCTGCAGCAAGAATAGGCAGTCGGGGGTGAAATGCTGCTGCTGTTATTTGCTGCTGCAGCAGCACCGCAGCAGCAATTCTCCCCGTCTTTACTTCGAAAACCCTAAGGCAGCCGTCGCTGCTGCCAGCAGCAACATAAACCCCTGCTGCATCAGCAGCAACAACGCGCACTGCAGCACCGGCGGGGCCCAGCAAGCCGCTGCTGCTGCTGCTGCTGCTGTTGCTGCTGCTGCTGCTGCTGCTGCTCCATGCAACTCTTTGGTGCTTCGGGTCCTCGAAAGGCAGCAAAAAGCCAAACAGTGGCTGCGGCTTTGGGACTTTTTGGGCATAGAGAGAAAGGGGTAAATAAGAAATTGCAGCAGCAGCAGGAAAAGATCCAGCAGCAGCAGCAGCAGCAGCAGCAGCAGACAAGTCCGGCAGCAAAGAGGCTGCGTCCACATTCATCCGACGCTTCACAGCCCGAGGACACAAGTACAAGTCCAAGCACCGGTTAAACCTGCACGCAAACCCTAAACCCTAAACCCTAAACCCTAAACCCTAAACCCGGGTTTTAGGGTTTAGGGCTTTGGCTTAAAGGCTCTCCCCATTTTAACTGCAAAGGCCTATGAGCGACAGCAGGGTTTTGTGCGGCGAGGGTTTCCAGAGACCTGAAGGGGCTTAGGGTTTAGGGTTTACGGTTTAGGGTTTAGGGTTTACCGTTCCATGACGAGCTGCGCATAAACTGGAACTCTTCTTAAAGAAGAATATTTTTTTGGAAGAAAATTTAAAGGCCTTTCTTCTGGAGGCAAAGAGTGCCACTCTGCTTCTTCCTGATCGCAAACCCTAAACCCTAAACCCTAAACCC